GCCTGGGTGACAGAGTGAGACTCCAGCTCAAAAAAAAAAAAAGAATTTCAAGACAGGGCCTCGGAGCAGTAAAACCCAGACACAATATCTCTTTCTAACCATTTGTCCCTGGTCACATTCCCATAAAGTTTACTCTTCTTTTCTTTTGTTTTCTTTTTCTATTCTTTCTTTCTTTTTTTTTTTTTTTGTAGGAGTCTCCCCCTCTGTCCCACAGGCTGCAGTGCAGTGGCATACTCACAGCCACCACATCCTTGACCAGCTGGGCTCGGGTGACCCTTCCACCTCAGCCTTCCAAGTAGCTGGAACCACAGGCATGTGGCCACCACACCCGGCTAATTTTTTGATTTATTGTAGAGAGAAGATCTCACCAAGTTTCCTAGCTGATCTCAAACCCCTGAGCCTCAGGGCAATCCTCTCGCCTCGGCCTCCCAGAGTGCTGGGATTACAGGCTTCAGTCACTGCACCCAATCCCAACTGTTTTTAATTAATTACTAGTATTGTTATTATTTTTGAGTTGGAGTCTCACTCTGTCACCCAGGCTGGAGTGTAGTGGCATGCTCACAGCCACCACATCCTTGACCTGCTGGACTCAGGCAGTCCTTCTGCTTCAGCCTTCCAAGTAGCTGGAACTACAAGCACATGCCACATACCTGGCTAGTTTTTTTTTATTTATTGTAGAGATGAGGTCTCACCAAATTGCCCAGGCTAGTCTCCAACCCATGGGCTCAGGCAATCCTCTCACCTCAGCCTCCTAAATTGCTGGGATTATAGGTATGAGCCACCACGCCTGGTCTGTTTTTAATTAATTCTAATGACCACTTGTGTCTAGTGTTTACTACACTGGGCAGCATGCCTCTAAGTTGACCCTTTTTTCTTATTTGATGAGGCATTCTTACTTTAAGGTTGGGAAATATATTTTTGGAACTGGTACCTGTCTTACACTTGCAGGTCTCAGGTGAGTTCTAAGGTAAGGAAAAGGTCATGTTTCCACCCCAGACCTCACTTTCCCCTGTGACACTGAGGAAATCAGAGAGTGATGCCAAGGCTGGGGATGTGTTCTGCCACAGACAGCTCTTGCAGCCTGTGTTGACTGGCAGTAACTGTCCCTGCGCCTGTGTTGACTGGCAGTTGCTGCCATTGCTGATTATTCTTCTTCTAACCGTGCTTTTCTGAGCACAGATGGTCATCAGCTCCTGAACTCATGACTTTCCTAAATACATTCTTTGAGGACAAGAAGCTAACTAATACCAAGCAACCCATCACATACGTAAAATATGAAAGGGAGTTTGATTTGCAGTAGGAGAGAGAGAGGTTAGATATCAAGAAAAATGATCTGGTGATGACAATTGTGGGACAATAGAGATAGGAAATCAAGTCTAAATTTTCTTTCTTGTTTTGTTTTTTTGGGGGGGTTTCAGAACCAACAATAATCCCTCTCCCTTGGTTTGGCGGGGGTGAGGGAGGGGACTGAAAGAACCTTACAAGTTTCATGAACAAGCCTCTTCCTAAGGTCCAGTGAGTAATCGATCCCCACTGATCAGCCCCTAGAAGCCAACTCAAGGGCTGGGTCTCTGGGAGAGAGTGGGGGAGGAAAATCCAGTACCAGGCAGCCACTGCTCCGTTGCTCTGAGGGGGTGGGGAAGGCAAACTTTGGTCATCCCCTTGGTCTGTAGCCCTTTTGTGTAAGTGGCTGGCGAGGGTGACGTGGGACTGTTCCTATGGGCACAGCTGCAGCACCGGCCAGGGTGGAGGCAGAACCCAGGCAGCCCTGCCCTCCCAGTTCCTCCCTCGGACCTTTCAGTGGTAAGGGGACATGCACCCCAAGGGCCTCTGCTTGGCCTGACCCTGCTGTGGGGGCTCTCTGTCCCCAGGAACAGTGAGATGGCAAGCTTAGCAATCCTCTCTCTGCCCAGCTGCCTTCCCTCCCTCCTCTTCCTCCTCCTCCAGCTGTCTTCCGGCTATGCAGGTAAGACTTGTGTTTATTCCTGCCTTTGGGAAAACCTAAGAAGAGAAAAGCTAGTTTCCCAGGGCTCATTTCCTTCACTTACCCTCAAGTTGCTATGTGAGTTAGCTTTCTAAAACGTACATCTGTTGACATCCTTCCCTTTCTCAGAAACTTTCAGTGATCTCTTAACAGTCTTCAGAATAGAATCTAAATTCTTGAATGTAACTTTAAATCAAGACCTTCCTTAAACTAGTTCTTACCCATCTTTACCCAGTTTTGTCTTTTCACCTCTTAAAATGGGGATAAAATAATAACGACCTTTTGGAGTTGCTGTCAGAGTTAAATGAGATGAGATTGTAAAATGCTTAGCAGTGCCTGTCTGCAGTAAAGCTCAATAAACATTTGTTGAATTATAACATCTTGTCATGTTTGAAAGCTTGCTCTGCATAATCAAGCACCAATACGTTTTTATAAAGTAGTCCTAATTTCATGTGCAACAAAGAAATAAAAGAAACATAAGACAGATTCCTGACCTCAGGAAATCACCTGACTAATGGAGGTGACCCAGTCCATCCACTCCCTAGGGAAATATTTCCGGATATAGGGGAGAACACAGCCTTACCTCCTAGTAGATCAAAATCTGAATTGGGAAATATGTCCATGTGGGAAAAAGAGTAGGAACATGTTCAGGGCAGGATCTAGGAGCTGAAGTGAGGTTGAAGGTACAGAGGGAGGGTGGGGAAGGGTGGCATAGAACCATCCCAGGGTGGAAGATCTCAAGGAGAATTAGGGAAACAGTGTGAACAGGGACAGAGGACTGAGAAGTGGTGGAGTCAAAATGGGTGGAATGACAAAAGCAAAACTGATAAGCCGGGAATAGGGATCAATTTGGATAAGTACTAACAGGGAGGCCCATGGGAGAATTAAAATTCAGGATGCTGAATAACATTCCAAGCTGGACCCTAAAGACTGGGCTGAAGCCGGGCTCGGTGGCTCAGCCTGTAATCCCGCACTTTGGGAGGCTGAAGTGAGTGGA